CACAATAAAATCCTAATTAGTGCTGGAAATGACTGCTCAACTCCAATCTCTTTGTTGATCCATCTATCTCCTAAGATTACAGCCTTAAATAAATGTGAAATTGTATTTAAATATCCCTGTGGCACCTCCCATGTCCCAGATCAGCTCCTGCTGCTTTGTCCCACCCGTGAGCCTCACCAATGGCATTTGCATTCATTTTTACTCTATTGAGCAGCAAAAATGAACATTTCCTTTCACACCCTGTTTTCTCTAGAAGATCAGAGGGAAAAAAAATTTTTAAAGTGCTGAAAGCTAAATTCACAATAAAAAAAAGCTAAAAACTTAAATTTCACAAAAACAACCAGGCAGAGCTCTGCCTCCAGAGGCAGAGAAGGGCTCTGAGGATGTCCCAGATGAGCTCTGAGGTCAAACTCCTCACCCACATCTATGAAACCCTCAGCTCACCGTGGCAGAAAGCTGTTACTGGCAGTGCCGAGCTCTTAAAACATTGATTAATCATGAACACAGCGATTACAGCTGCATAAAGCCCTGTAAAAAATTCCCCCATCCTCCCCGTGACTTCCTGTAATCCCTGAAGTTTTATTTGCTGTGCCATCACACCTCAAACAAGTCAGCAGAACAGCCCCAACCTTCTGGATTAGAGACAAAATTCTCACTGAACCATCTTCCCGTGGGCGTCACAGGAGGAATTCTGGGGACAACACGACATTTAGGGTTGAATTTGCTCCATTTCCATCCCAAAAAAAAAACCCAGAGCTGCAGAGTGAGATGGGGTTTTCACCCTGGGGCTCTTCTTGGTGAGTTCCCCCTCTCAGCTGGGAGAGCAGAGGGAGCAGAGGGGACACCTGCAGACCTGGGGCACAAACATTCGGCCCAGAGGTGCCTTGAACTGGGACAGAGTTGGTAAATCCTTTGCCACACTCACTGAATTTCTAAGCAGATTTTTACAGGGAAAGATTTCCTCAATCCTTTGCCACACTCACTGAATTTCTAAGCAGATTTACAGGGAAAGATTTCCTCAATCCTTTGCCACACTCACTGAATTTCTAAGCAGATTTACAGGGAAATATTTGTTCAATCCTTTGCCACACTCACTGAATTTCTAAGCAGATTTACAGGGAAATATTTGTTCAATCCTTTGCCACACTCACTGAATTTCCAGGCACATTTACAGGGACATAGTTGATAAATCCTTTGCCACATTCACTGAATTTACAGGGACAGATTTGTTCAATCCTTTGCCACACTTGCTGAATTTCCAGGTACATTTACAGGGACAGAGTTGATAAATCTTTTGCCACACTCACTGAATTTCTAAGCAGATTTACAAGGACAGATTTGTTCAATCCTTTGCAACATTGATTGAATTTCCAGATATATTTACAGGGACAGATTTGTTCAATCTTTTTCCACATTCACTGAATTTCCAGGCACATTTAGAGTTGATAATCCTTTTCCACACTCACTGAATTTACAGGTTCAGAGTTGTTCAATCTTTTGCCACATTCATTGGATTTCCAGGCACATTTCCAGGGACAAATTTCCTAAATCCTTTGCCACACTCGCTGAATTTCCAGGCACATTTACAGGGACAGATTTGTTTAATCTTTTGCCACATTCACTGAATTTCCAGGTACATTTACAGGGACAGAGTTTTTCAGTCCTTTGCCACACTCACTGAATTTCCAGGCACATCTACAAGCCAAAATTGAGTTTTCCACACCAGTGGACAAACAATTCCAGGAGAAAAGCCACAAAATGCCCCTGAACGCCCAGCCCCAATTGCTCTCCTCGTTTTTCAGACTTCCATGCTCTGTTTCCACTTGGCACAGGGTAATTAATTAGTGCCAGTTAGCGCCATGCACAAGCAAACGCCCTAATGAGCTTCACCAGGGTGGGAATTACTGGGTTGGAAGTGTGTCAGAGGGTCCCTGGGCTGCCTCTGCTCTGGGGCTCTGGAAAATGAGGAAATATTGGGAATTCTGGGGCAGAGACCTCCTTTCCCAGCGACCTCCCCCAGTTTTTGCTCCTTATTTTCCTCATTCATTTCCCTCTCATGGCGCTGCCCAAAAGGAGCAGGGGTCTTGTGACCCCCCTGCAACCCTCCCTGATTTCCAGGCACGGCCCTCCCAAAAAAATCACCTTAAAGAGGGAAATCCCAATGGGGAACAGGGAGGTGCAGCTGGACCTGTGAGCTCAGAGGGGCAGCTCCTCATCCCTGGAAATGTGGATTATTTATTAACTCCTTCATTGTTTGGGCTACAATGGGCTGTAAAAAACCAGCCTGAGGAGTGGCCCCTGCGCCTCAGCAGCAGAACCTGGTGGAGTTCCTCTCTCTGCTGCTCCTTTTGGGCTCTTACATCTCCCCTGGTGTCACAGGAACAGGATAATTTCCACTGCCAGAGCTGCACCCTCGTCCTCCTTTGGCCACTGTGCTTCAAACACAGGGAAAAAAATAAGATTTTTCCTCCTCCAGTGAGGCAGAATGAGGAAAACCTCCCTAAACTAAAAATTAAAATTAAAATAAATCAAAACAAAAAGGAAAGCTGCTGTTTGGCAGGTTTCCCGGGCTGTCTCAACCTTTGCTTTTGGCTGACAGAAGCAGATGGTGGCACAGGTATTAAAGGCCCTGCCCTGGCATTAGCTCAGCAAAGGAGCAGTTTTAATGAGAATCACAGGAACACAAATAGCACAGAAACCCCTGCACTGTTCCCACAGTCACCTCAGGACGGCACGTTCAAATAAATGATTTATTACATCCAGCTCTTCCACAAAACCTGATTTGATTTCAGCAGGTGACAGGGAGGCAGAGCCGGGTCTTTCAGTCCCACTGGACATAACTGGGCACTTTTGATGCCATTTCCTGTCATTTTTCTCCTGCCATTCCCCTTTGCATGACCAAAGCTGGACGTGCTGTCCCTGAGCCTCTGCTGGCATCAGCTGCGACCTCTCAGGGCTGTCCTGGCCCCGTGTCTCCTGGGCAGCTCTCCTTCCAAGCATTTCATCACTCAGTAACTCAGGCAGGGCTTAATGTTTAATTCTGGGAGTTCATTCCCTCCCTGTCAAACCGCCCCTCCCTCCCTCAGCCGGGAATTCGGGATCCCACCGGGAATTCCCAGCAGAGCTGGGCAGGGTGGGGGCAGCACCCACTGCAATCCCATCCTGGTGTTTCCATCCCCTTCCACCCAAACCCAGCCACCTGATTTATCCCCATTTCCCCAGGACTGCAGTCACTCCAACCCAAGAGATCTGATCGAGTGACACAGATCAATCCCCAGGTGCACACGGCAAATAAAAATAAATAAATCCCAACACTCCGGCTGTCGTGGGGCTTTGGCAGGGCTGAGGGGCTGCAGAAATCCACAGGGGTCAGTGTGGGTTTCAGATTTAGTCAGAGAGAGAAACGGAGTTTCTAGCCAGGCAGAAGCCTGGGAAAGAGCTGGAGAAGAATGTAAATAATTCTTTATCTCTCTTGTTTTTCACATTATTTATAGTTAAGTTCTGTCACTGTGCATGAAGCACTGTACACCAATGGTGTCAGTTGTTTTCACTTCAGAACCAATGGCTTTGATCCTTGCAAAGCTCTGTATAAAAGAGCAGTGTTGTTGGAATCTGTGGTATTGATGATTCTGAGATTGTAGAAAGTCTCTGTCTGTCAGCCCCCTGCCAAAGCAGAAGCCATAATTGGTCTGTGCTGGTTTCCAGGTTGTTTATTCTGTTTATCTCTCACATGTTCTGCTGCCCTGCCCAGCTCTGTCCTGCAGGGCAGCGTGTGGGGCTCTGCCCTCAGTGGGATGTGACAAACATTCAATACCAGAAACTCCCTGGGCTGGATTTACAAGAACGTGCCAATATCTGTCACCTACGTTGGACAGTGTGTCCCCAGCCTGAACCAACAGAAAAATGCCAACACCACAGTGAGACATGGAGGGCATGAAGAAGGAGAAAAAGGACAAGGCACACCCAATTTCCTCCATCTTGTCCCCTTTGGACCCCTCATCTAGAATCCTAAAATTTTACTTTTGCACCCGTGCCACACTTAATTATTACTGATATCAAACACTCAGAGCTGGTAATTGATGCTGTAAGATTGAAAACTCTTTTCCATGGGCAGAGATCACAGGGGGTGGACACTGCAAGGAACTTGCAGGCAGACATCCCCCAAAGCACCACCTTGAAAAAGGAAAAAATTCCCCAGAGAGCTCCCAGGGCAGAGGTTTTGCTCTGCCAAAGGGGATGGTTGGAATATCCCAATTTTTTGTCACCTTTCCCTCTCTGAAGCTCTCCCAGGGAGGGGAGTGAGGCTGAAGCAGGGCACAGCACAGAACTGTGCTCAGGCACAGCAGCCCCCACCTGCCATTCCAAAGCACTTTTAAACCAGCCCAGGTATTTTTTTGGCAGTGTAAACCCCACTTTACCTCAGCTTGGAGCAGAGCGTGGCCAAGGTGGACAATTAGGCAAGCTTCATTAGACCTCCCCAAAGGGGATGTTTGTCCATTATTCAAATACTCCATTTCCTTGTAAAGCAAGGGAATTGCTGTCCTGCTTATCAGTTTGTTTTTAATTATTATGCATTAAGTTATTCTTGATGGCCATTGCTAATTACTCCTCAGGACATTGATGTGCCAAAGGGAATCCCACACAGCATTGCCACTGCTGCCTCTGGACAGACACTGGGATTTATTTGATGGCCTTTAACCACAGGAATTGTGCAATAACCATTCCCTCACTGCCCTTCCTCAGCTTTCCCAGCATGGCCCCAGCTCCAGGAATATCCAGGATAATTGGGGGAGTGTCCATTTAAACTCCTCTCACAGCCTCATCCTGCTGCAACAACCTCCACTGAATTTTGGGCTTGATTTAAGGGTTGGTTTAAGGGTTGATTTAAGGGTTTATTCTTGCACTCCCTCCCCAGGGCTCTGCCACCGCTGGGGCTGTGACATTCCCACTGCAGTTTCCTCAGTTTTCTGTTCTCACCAACATCCTGCTCCCTTTGGCTCTTCAGTTTAGATCAGAAATGGTTTTTTTGGTTTTTTTTGTTGCCCACTACACCAGTTCTACACACAGAGAAAGATTTGCTGGTCACAGGAAGAAACGTGTCTGCAGCACAGGAAAGAAACTTATAAGAAAAAAAGATATCGTAGTTCTGACTCTCAAAAATGCTTCTCTGTTTGACCAAGAAGCAAAGCAACACCAAAGCTCACATTATCTAATAATAATATAAATTAATTCAGTATTTAATCAGAGAGAAATCAAAGACTTTTGTGATTTTGCCAGGCCACCTCCTCTCCCCAGAGCTGCTTTATTTACCCTGGCACAATTCTAAATTTCACATCAGCTGGCAAAACAGGATGGTCTTGAGGAAAAGCAGAATTCTGAGAACCCAGAAGGGGTCTGAGGGTCCTTGTGAAACATCTGATGGAACACAGAACCCAGGGCTGGCTGCAGGAAATTCGGAGCAGGAATCCACGGAGCTGATTTTGGAGCATTTCTCCTGAGCAGCTGAGCTGAGGCTGATCTCACTTGACAATTGTCTCTTCTCCCTTGTAAACGACCACGTTCTGCTCTGTCTCCTGCACTTCCACCTTGTAAAGGATTCCCTGGGGCAGGAGCTTCTGGAGGCTGTCCCAGATGAACACGGCCACGTTCTCCGTGGTGCTGAGGGGAACAGAGCAGGGTCAGAGCTGGCTGAAATGGCAAAGTGACAGCAGGCTTTGCAGCCAGGATGGGCTGGGGGGACACTGACAGGCAGCGGAAATGGCCAAATGACAAAATTTGCTGCCAGGATGGACTGGGGGATGCTGAAATGGCAAAATGACACCAAATTTGCAGGCAGG